TGAAGAGAATAGACTACCATCTGGAACCCCAGTCCCAACCACGAATAAATGGTTGTTCCAATATGGCGCCAGCTTGAAATCCTTTACATAGGAAATGATTGGGACTGGGGAGTTCCATCCATTTCTTTCTGGTTGGGACTGGGGTTCCAGGCAGACCTGGTCAAGGGTTGGGGCCTCCCGGGTGCCATGACGCACAGCCGCGAGCCGCAGGAACAGGAGCCCTTTGCCGGACAAGAACCCATCTACGAGCAGCGTGCTCGAGTGGACCAGGCGGGTTTGGATCCAGACGGACCGGCAGGTGTGGCGAAGGCAGACGAAGGCGACTGGGAAAGGCGACTGGTGACTTCTGATCATGAGGAGTCCATCGGTCAAATGGATTCCTGGTTTCACTTCGGTCCTTCATCCACGACTGGTTTTCGGGACACGACGAAGACTCGAATGAACTCCGACGCGACGCGTGCGGTGGCTATGGAGACCACATCTCCATGCGCGTGCGCGGATGCTTCCACCATCGCCGACGCCACGCTACTCGGTCGCCGAGTTCGGCTGAACTCGGCGACCGAGCTGCATGAAAAAGCGAGAAGGGCCGATGCCAGAACGTATGGTAGTCTTTCAATAACAAAGTGCTGCCAACATCGACCGATTACACCATTTCTACTAAGGACCAACCTGAATTCCACGAGGCCAACACGACAAGGCCAACCCGACGATCACCCTGCTGAGTCGCGTGGGTTCGCCGAAGACGGCCGAAGACGCAGCTGACCCCACCGGATCAGTCGATTTGAAGGATGTGGAGGTGCTGACCCCCTAAACAAGCTCCATCTTCGAAGAGTTCAACCCGTGTAGCTTGCAGGACACCATGCAAATCAATTGACACAATGCCGCTGCTTCGCCCACTGCGAGGGAACCACAAGAAGATGAGGCGGAGTACTGTGCTTTGTTTGGGGGGCCTGCCTTTCTAGTGCCAGGGCAACTCATCAGTGCCCCCCTTTCCCCAAGTGAGGCGACCAGATGTGGGGTGAGGCATTCAATGTTTAGTGAGTAGCCTTGTTATGCTCGGATACGTTCCGACTCTGAAGATCAATGTCCCACTGGGTCCCAGTGCGTCATCAAGGCCGCACTTCAGAGGCATGCCGGACAGACGGGAGTCCGTGACGTTGATCCTGCCTATGTGGACGCGGATGATGTGCCATGTCTTCTGGCGACCCCAAAGCCAGTCATGGGAAGTCATTGAACATATCACCGAACGCAGCGAACGCTCCACGCTCCACTTCCAGGGCACCTTCCAGCCGAGCTGTCGGCCCAGCACGGCAGGGACAGGGGGCAGCGAAGCAGCTCTCCTTCGAACGCGGTGGCAACGCTTTCGTCCCACCCCAGTGTACACCCCCATCCTTTAACTTGCCAAGCATTAAGCAAACTGTGGGTTCTGACGCTGTAGAGCTCTCCTTCCCTACACACAGAAGGCACTCGGCTTCTTCTTTCAAACGTGCTGCCGCCTGTGAAACACGCCTAGGTTCACAGCGCATGTCACATTGGGCTGCATTTCTTCCGGTACCTGCACATGTGCAGGCAATGTCTTCGCAGCAATCCACGCCATCAAGCGCGCTCACACAAATCCACATCCACGTAGGGCCCTCCGAGGGTTTGGCGCCTTAACCACTGCACTCATCCTGCTCCAACTACACAAACGTCCGCAAGACCGGCATCGGAGCCTGTGAAAACTTGCTCATCCTTTCGTGTTCGCACGCCCATTGCAATCACCCTCTCCGCAAAAACAGCTCCAAAAAAAGCACCCCGCGCCCGAAAAAAATGCGGCTGCACACAATCGGCCAGGTGGTGCTGGTTGTTTGTTGATGAAATTCGACAGCGGAGGAAGATAGCTCCGACTTCCCGGAGATGCCTACCTCGTGGCTCTTGATGTCTTGCTGCCCAATGGGATTGATCGGTTGATTGAAGTGATTTTGGCAACTTCAAAGATGACCGCTGACCTTGCGCAGTGCGTGTGCCTTTAGCCAGCGACAAACGATCTGGTAGGATCTGGCAATAGAATAGAATGCAATTTACATGCAGACACTAGCTCCCAAACCCAGCATTTGGACGTCAGAATGCTTGCAGAGGGTCGACACATGGACAATCCAGTTGCTTATAGGCTTATAGGCGACCCTCTAAACCCACAACAACAAAAGGTAGTTGGTACCCTAGGCATGCTGACAAGTTACAATGCAACCCAGTTATTCACTCTTTCAAAAGTTTCGCAGGGGCACCTGCTTCTGTGACCAAAACTGATTGAGGCTTTGAAAGTCGCCCAAATAGAACTATCGAACCGGTTGTTGAGATCAGGTCCTCTATTTCTTTGATCTCGAATACGAGTGCCTTGGCTGCACAGGTGAACGAACAGCGGTCTGACTTACGTAGATGCGTGGGCACCCTGCGCACCTTCTTGCAATTCTACAAGGGTGTTTAGTCACCCTCAAATGAAATTGCACCCTTTTTGATTTTGAGGCAGTGAGATGCCGTCACAAAAGAAGGCAGTCACACACTTTCGGTCATGTGGCACAGTGGCCCGAAAATGAGGACCTAAGATTCTGCATTAATTGTGTTTGTTTTTCATGTGTCATGTTTGGCTTTTGGGGCAGAAAGTCCTTTTACTTCTAGCTATTGCCAAGTGCTTTTCACCATTGAAAGACAAGAGTTCGGTGACCTTGGCCTTGGCAAGACCAACACATATTATTTTTTGTGGAACGGCGGAAAAGAGGGTTCTTGGCGGCTTATTGATCATGAAATTCGGAGAGTTTTTCAAGTTTCAAGTTTGTGATCAGTTTAGTTTTGCAGTGGTATTTCCAAGGGATACCAGGCCATAAAACAAAAGGTGAATACCGGATTGGAACACAACTTCGAAGGAAGATGACGATGGTAGATTTTCTGGACAGTTGTCTGAATGAAAATGCACGCCTGGTCAATAGCACTTGATTGATCTTCCGAGATGATTTCATGTGTCATTTTGCAAGAGTGGAAAATTAATGGAGCATGTGAAACAATCCGATTGCAGTCAGCTACTTCAGTTTCACTTGCCCAACCGGAGCAGCGCCGGTGTCCGATCCAAGTGAAAACGACTCAGGAAGTACTCCGGCTACTTCGAAGATCGCGAGAGGAGGGGTGGGACAGAACGGTGGGCGGGCTTAAGAGCCCAAAGATGGAGCAACGCAGAAATAGCATCGCCATTGCCCCACACCATGTCCCCCAAACAGCGATTCACCCGGTGTTGTTCGGGTGGAAGTACGGTCGGGGGTTTGGGTCGTCCAGGGGGGTCGGGTTCTGCGTTCAGTGCGGTGATAGGAGGGTCGCAGGTTCCCAGGATGGACTGTTTAGATGGTTCCCAGGAAGGAGAAGGTTTCTACAACCTCTAAGGACTCCAAAAAACCACGTAGAATCACGTGTTGATCTGGCCTGTTAATGTTTTTTGGTTGGAGAGGGTGATGTTTTTGGTCTCAGGTGTTGGGAATCTGCAGAATGTTTGTTGGAATCGATCCGTACAGGATTTCCTGAAGGGTTCTGCACCAAAAAGTATTGCCAGGTTGACTTGACCTACTTTTTGAGGTAAAATGTGACATAATGTGACTCAGTGCAAGCAGAACATTGTTTGCCGCCACCTTTGTTGTGGCTTAGCCAGGACGCTTCTGTCAGTATTGGTATCCTTTGGGCTTGTCCTATTACCTGTAACAGTCAGTAAGCAATTATCACTACATTAGAGGAAGGCCTTGCTAACCATCATTATCGACTGTTACTGGTAATAGGATAGACCCAAGGTATCCTGAAAGAGGCAGTTTCAACTTGATCATTCTTGATGCTTCATTATTTCATGTAATGGAATGTGACCACGAAAGAAATCAAGGCCAGAAACATCAAGAAATCCACTCGCCCAATCTGGGGCGACCTCCTTCCAGCCTTCGCGAAGCTGGCCCCCTTTTTTCATGGCCAGCTTCGCGCGAGCTATTTGCCGTAAAAAACGGTCAACACAGGATGGACAATTTGCGCTTGGAGTACTGCAATTGCGTCAATGCCATCGAGTTTCAGCTCTTGCGCGTGAAGTCAGTGGGTGGGTGGGCGAGGGAAGGTGACGTGACGACAGAGCTGGAAGGTGACGTAGACAGAGAGGACTCAAGAGAACCCCCTTGAATATGTCGCTATAAAGTGGTGATCATGTTCCTTTATAAACTGGAACCCCGCAGCCCAGGCAGAGATTCAACCGGTATTGACGAACAAGAACCTGTTCAACACCGCCAACCTGCGGGCTTGGTAGTTGTTTTTCACACGCGGAAGGGTTTGAAAGATTGCTTCGTGGGATAAGTTAGAACTTTCTGCAGGTGAGGTCAAGGGCTCAAGTGAGAGCAAATGCAGGGAATTCCTCATAGTCTAACTATCTGAGCAAAACGTCGTGGAGGCCCTTGAGGGTGTTGAAGGTGGTTCCCCCCCTCTGGTTCCGACTTGATGTTGATAAAAGACGTCACAGAAGGGATCATCAATGCTATTTACGCAATCAATCCATTTGAGAAGCTTGAAGACCTAACAAACCCGGTCAGTGGACTACCTACTCTAGGTGACGACGCCTTCTGGCGCCTGTGGGTGGCGTGTTACATCTCTCCTGAAACCCCCTGAGGAGGACCATTTCAAGAAAATTGAGTAAAAATGGGGTCGTCAATTTGGACATTAGTTTTTGTTATTTCAAGTACCTGAGTAATAAGAGTTTGTTTCCATCAGCAATCAGATAAATTGGGATCAATCATCTTAAGCATGAGACACAATGCTCAGAGAGAAGGACTCCCTTCCACGAACTGATTGGACTCAGTCTTGGTGTAAGTTCTCTTTGTAGCAACATGGCATGAAAGCTGTGACATTCTCTCTTAAAAAAGCCATAGTCTGCTCTGTCGGTTTTCAAACGGTCCCAATTGGTCAATTCTTTCACCAAAGTGCTCAGCGGGAAAACCGCCATACGCTGCTTTTCACTTCCAGCGGCAAGCCTTCGACAAGTGCACCAGGAACTCTTGTCCTGTGACATCTCCATCAGCTCTGAGGTTTTTGCGCCAGAGCCATTGGTACACACGGCGTTCCAACGTTGCATTCATACAACTGACGCCTTTCATTTTTCCTTTTCTTTTTACCTGCTTCGGCATGAAGCGCTTCAGGCTTCCCCAAGCAGCATCGATGCACTGCGTGCCTCCGACTTTACTCAGCTTGGGCCGAGGAGCACGTCGAAGCTGCACTGCGTATTGTCGTTGCTGGTGTGACACCTGAGCCACAGGGATCTTGAGCTTCTTGGCAAAGGTTCGCCAGCTCGGAGCACCATCTGAGTAGATTGCTGTGTTCTTGTCTGCTCCAATGTATTTTGCAAGGTCGGACCTGTCAATCTCCCGAATCGATTCGACAGGCGGCCGAGCCTTGGGAAGAGTAACCTTCGGCGTCAGGAACTTCACCACCATCAAGCCACCCCGCTGGATGGCGCCGACGACACGCACATGGACTGGGTAAGACTTCAAACAGGCCCGTTTCTTCTGCTGCAAATCTTGGATCTGGTCCGCGTAGAAGATGTTGTCAGGCTTCACAAAGAAGCGGCCGAGTGATGTGGCATCACACTCGATCTCCTGGCGAAGCCGGATCAACGACATTGCCTTCTTGCCTGCTGCAGCTTCACGCTCCGACAGAACACGCAAGAAGTTGTCCGCCGAGTTGTAAGACACGCCGTGTGCATGCACCAGGTCTGTGGCCACCACAGCTTTGGTATGGGACATGTTTGCGTAGCGCACCAACATCTGGACCAACGTATCTGGCTCACACTGTAGGCCTGCAAAATAAGACTTCTGCAAAAATGCGTCTCGCATGTTGCACGCATTCCTCGCACACCTCCAATAGAAGTGATCCCTGCGGTCTTTACGAGAAAGACAGTAAGGGCCCTTCAACGACTTCTGGCCGCAGTGTCGGCAAACCGAGCTGCTGGAAACGAACCCCTGTTTCAACAGCCACGAGCAAGCTTCTGTCTTTGTCAACGTCAAAGGAGAAATGACGCTTCCGAGGACTCTTCTCACATTCTGCTTTCTCTCCTTGTTGGATCCGTAGCTTTTGGCTGCTACTTTTCTGTGCTGACCATCCTTGTGAGAATGGCTTCTGTCATCTTTCTTCTTCACGGAACTGCTAGCAGCTTTCGCTTGTTCGGAGCACTTCTTGCGCAAAGCCTGAATGACCTTGGCACCTGGCAGCTTGCAGGTCTCCACTCTGTGCCCTCGTTTACCACAGCAACTGCACACAGGTGAAAGCCTCAAGCCGCGGCTTCGAGCGTTTGCCATGGACCGAGTGCCCAGAAAGAGGGATCTGTATGGCCCCGTGTGCAATGACTATTTGGATAACGTGTTCAGGGTGTGATGTTTTGGTGTTTGTTCCAAAGATTTGCAGGACTCATCGTAATCTGTTGAAACGGTTGCAGGAATCATGCTATTCTGTTGAAACAGTTGCAGGAAAATGTAATTCTGTGTAAAAGTTTGGGCTGGTTCTTTTTGTCAAATACGCATTGCTTCTGGGGCTGGTCGTCCTGCGCTCCCCTGCAGGAGACTTGAGGAGCCCAAAGGTGACGTGGAACCCAAAGGACAATCCGTCACACTGAGTGCATGTCCTGGTCCGGAGACTTCCGTTCGATGAGAACAGTGTTGCCGGCTGTGCTGAGCGACAAAAAAGGAAATCTCTGTGGCTGCGTCTTTTCCTGGGAATCAAGAAGGTCGTTGGATCGAATCTGTTGTCAATCACCAGACAAAATCAGTCTTTAAATTTCCTATACGCGCGTGAAAGTCGCGCCGCAGCCGCAGCTTGTGTTTGGAATTTCTAGATTCGCTCTGACTCAGTGGCCTCTCAGAGGTGCGATTCAGCGACCCCGGCATCCAGTGTGATCGCCGGCAGCATACTCTGGAGCACATTCGCAAACAATGTGCGAAAGCTGGCGGCAGCACAAGCGCAAGGGCAGCCACCCACAGATAACATGTATTCAAGATCAGCAGGAGCATCGTAGAGTCCATGGGGAACGTAATCGAAGAAAAGCCTGAGGCGGAAGTCTGCCATCACATGTGCGTCCGGTCCACCCTGTAGGAGAACGCAGGCCACCAAGACACAGGCCACAGAAGTCGAAGAAGTCGTGGTACTTGAAGAAGACACCAAGAGACATAT